CAGACGGGTCATTGATGAGTGAACAAGAACAAAACTCGAAACTACTGCATCCTGAATGTACAATTGACGGGATAAATTGAGAAGTATGAAGATGAAGTTTGAAAGGTAGTCAGTCCGAATTGGTATCATTGATCGCATACCATTATTCACAAGTAACTGTGGGGTGGATATGAAATATAAAATACATTGTTAACTGAAGCGTCAACTAACCAGTTCAGATCGAAGATTCATCAGACATTTTTTACGGCAGTATAGGGACATGAGGATGAAGAAATGACATCAAAGAAGCAGGAGGGCAACATTTGCCATTACCTCAGATCATCTGAACGAAAGGACTGAAAAAAGCTATGCTAGAATGTAAGATGAAACACCCAAAGAAAGTCCCTGAACAAGATTAGTTTGCTAACAAAAAACACCAGTGAAGGTTTTCGAGTCATGACTCGACAACATTTCAACACATTTATTCACCAAGAGCGGGTGATGGACGATAAACTGTAGATTACTTTGCATGCAATCCCTCAATGAACAAGTTCAAACGCTATACTGGAAACCATACCTGTTTTTCCAACTAACGACCTATAAACGATGTCCAATCAAATACAGTGCATATGAATCGGATGAATTGAGACGGGAAATCGACCTAGAGTAGAAAAGCTTAAAACGTGTCTTACTCTTGTATTAAGTAACTGAATCGGTTCAATAAAATGAAGTGAAAAAAGAGAGAAGACAGTGTGTAACATAAAGCTGTACAACCTTGGATGCTTCACCATGTCCTCTTTATTCAAAACTTCATGAAAATACGTGGAGCAGATGCGTGAAACCCAAATCCCAAAACCACAACCCGTTCCCAATGCTATCCGGCTACGTAAAGAACGAAATTAAGAACATAATTTTGACGGTACGCATGCAGTGAATAAAACATTTAGACAAGTGCAAGAAAGGAGAAACAAAACAAAAAGCAAAATTCCCAATACACAACTTAACTTCGCACAGCACAGTCTCGATCATTTCACTAATTACGAAGAGTGAACAATAATGATAGTGTCTCGATCGAGAATCAGTGATCCAAATGAAGCGAAACGATCAGACACGCCTCAGCAACGGACAAGAAGGGACAAGTCGAGGATTAATGTACTGCATTCCAGTTGTTGTTTCTGTATTGTGAAAGTATTTAAGGTGTCGACTGGATTGTTTCCTTTTCATAACTATCCGAATGACGTCAAAAGACACGTACCCAGGAAGTGAATGAAATGGAACTTGCGCATCTA